TTTGATGGCTTCATGTCTTACATTTAGGTCATCCATTTTGAGTTTATTTTTGTGTATGGTGTAGGAAAGTGGTGCAGGTTCATTTTTCTGCATGTTGCTGTCCAGTTTTCCCAGAACCACTTGCTGAAGAGACTTTCTTCATTGGATCATCTTTCCTGCTTTGTCAAAGATAAGTTGGCCATACATTTGTGGGTCCATTTCTAGGTTCTCTATTCTGTTCCATTGATCTGAGTGTCTGTTTTTGTGCCAGTAATGTACTGTCTTGATGATTACAGCTTTGTAGTATAGCTTGAAGTCTGGGATTGTGATGCCTCCTGCTTTGGTTTTCTTTTTCAAGTTTGCTTTGGCTATTTGGGCCTTTTCTGGTTCCATACAAATTTTAGGATTGTTTGTTCTAGCTCTGTGAAGAAGGCTGGTATTATTTTGATAGGGATTGCATTGAATATGTAGATTGCTTTGGGTAGCATTGTCATTTTAACAATATTTGTTAAATATTGGAGCATGAGATATTTTTCCATTTTTTTGGTGTCTTCTTAAATTTCTTTCATAAGCTTTCTATAGTTTTCAGTGTATAGATTTTTCACCTCTTTGGGTAGATTTATTCCTAGATATTTTATGGGTTTTGGTGGCAACTAGAATATTTCAATGAAGGATAGGTAAATTAAATGGCTAGTCTTCCAAATAAATTCAAAGCTTTTATCCATTTGTTCAAGAATAAAAACTAACCATTAATTATAATGCTTCATTAGCAGAAAGAAGCAACTGAAACTCTTCCTTCTCCCTTTTTTTTACATCCAGTGTTTCAGCAAGCCCTATATACCGAAAATCCATCAACACATTTCTACTTCCACTGCCACTACCGCTGTCCAAAACACTCTCCATTACTTCTTGCTCAAAGACTGCAATAGCTTTCCAAATAGTCTCCCTTATCTATCAGTCTTCACACTGAAGCAAGAGAGATAATTTAATAACTTAAATTAGATCATATAATTCCCCTGCTTAAAAAACTAACAACCTGACAACAGAAAGGCAATAACATATGTGGAAGGAATGATGGAATTAGAAAATCACCATTAGGCAAGCATACTAATCCATCCAACTAGGAATCATGGAATACTATAATTAGTTGGTAAAAGATTGAGGAGCTACTAGTAGGATATTTATAAGAGTAGTCTCATAGTATTTCTTCACAATATATTTATTAATTACAAAGAGCAAAATAGAAACTTTATGGTGGAGAAATCTTAAGCAAGTTAACATCATCAGCAATAGAACAGACATCATGTGCCTACTAATATAATGCTATAATATGAATGAAAGGTTACTTTTGAGGCATTCCTGCTGAAAATTTATCACCTGACTGCTATCATGAAAATATCATACAAACCTAAATTGAGGAATACCCCATAATATAAATGGTTTGTATTCTTCAAAAATGTTAATGCCGTGAAACATGAAGAAATATTAAGCAAGTATTTTCCAGATTGAAGGAGGCTAGAATCATGACAACTGTGACAGGCCAGACTGACCTGGCAGTTCTTATAACAAGCTTATATTCCCATAACAATCCTAAATTTCAGTTTAAATATTAGCCAATCAGAAAGTTATTCCCTAAGTACCAGGCCTCCATTGTCTCTTACCTTTTTAAGTACAAGGTGCAACTGTTTTGCCTATTTCCTCTTTTACGCCCATTTCCTCCCATTTAATGGGATGGGATTGTTTCCTTCACCGGTTAATCAACAGTGTTCAACAGAGTACTTGGGACTTGCTAGAGCTCAATAGGTAATCAGTCTTATCCTTAATTTTACTAGAGTCATACTCATAGAAAAGATAGTAATTCTTCTGTAAAATCCCGACCTGAGCTCAAACGTGCATTTAGAGTGAAACTTCCTTCCTTCTTGTAAGAACAGGTGGGTGAAAGGGATACCAAGATACTGGGTGGGAACCAGGATGCCAAGGGTGAAGGGAGACTTCTCCCTTACCACTTTCTTTGGTCTTTGTAGAGTGTGACAGCATCCCTCCGCTTTGCTTCAAGAAAGAATAAAGTAGCGAAAAAGAGGGATAAGATTAAAGGTAAATAAGAATTTCTAGGAAATGGAATGAAGCAGCTCCTCAACCTACCCGATGACTCTGACGACTCAACGACACTAGGGACAGAAACTGAGTAATAAGGAACCCCCTGCGGCCTTTCTTCCTCCCCCCCCCCCCCCCCCCCCCCACCTCATTTGCTTCCGTACACGCACACCGCCAGCCAAGCCCCTCCTTTTCCCACAATCCTCTATTTCCCAGGCTGACGTTAGAGGAACCAGCCACGGAGGACAAGGCTATTGGTTGAAAGAGCAGCCAATGAGAGAGCCTGTTACTAGTCTGGGGGCTGCGGTATTGGGGGAGCGCTTTAGGCCTTGAAGCCCTCCGCGTCCCGGAGGTTTCTGCACGATGAGCTCAATCGGGACTGGGGTGAGTTTATAGCCTCTTGGCCTAATGGAGTAGCCAACAGATTAGCGTTGAAGGGAACTTGGACACACCGCTTGGGGTGCGCCGCCTCGGCGTGCGCCGGGACTGCCTTCGGCCAGGTGGGCCACTTCCCCTTGTCTGGTGCCCAGCATTCTTTCCTGCTAATTTGTAGGCCCCTCATTTAGGGTGACCGTGACCTGAAGCTCTTCAGCTCAGGTGTGGCGGGCTGGGCGGCGCAGCAGTGTGATTGGGAGCCGCTTTGGATTGCTGAGTCACTTTCTTTGGCCGCTTAGGGAAACCGAAAGTGGAAACTCGTGGAGCCTGTAATGGGGTGTGAAGCGTTTGGGAGACAGCTTCTTGAGAACCGCCGAGGCAAGGCGGCTTTAGATTCCAAGGTCTGGGACGCAGCTTTCCATGGACCGCCTTTGCAGTTCCCAGGGTGCTGCTGACTCACTGGGCCTTCCCCATGTTGCCTTCGAGTGTACTGACCGTCCGCTTTGCAGGAGTCCCTGGAACCCCTGTCGGGGCAGAGTTGATAGAAACATTGTCTCAAAAGTGAAATCTGAAGGAGGCTTTACAAAAGTTTTCCCTTTGTCCCAGCTTTTCCTGTAAGAATTACTTAACATCACTTTGAGGTATCGGTACGGTAAACATTTAAATTATTAGCTAGGGACTTAACCGCTTCTGTTAACAGACTTGGGGATTTTGGAGTTGGACTTGTTAACTTGTTCAGTTTACTACTTTCCTGTGTTAAACGTACCGCACATATGCAGCCTTTTGCTTATTCCTTTTATGTATTTCTCCGTATAGATAATCTAGTTTTTATTTAGAAGTATTTATTCGTTGTGTGCACTACAGGCATAGACTAATGGGTGTCTAAGTTCATCAGTTCCCAGTGTTCACAAGATTTTGATACTCAGCATTAAGCCCAGGTACTGGTTTTCCTAGTTTGATAATTGGAATGATTTAATCCATTCGGTTATGAGATACTAAAGTTATGACAACGGTTTTAGATTAGTAGATGCTCAGTTATGCATGGTGTAGCAAATTGACTTCGCCACTACATTACTATTACCTTCAATTAATAGTGTTTTGTTCTGAAAGCCCTTTAAAAAATACTTGGTAAATATAAACGTGAGATATTTTGGTATTACGATAGTAGAGTTAAGGATCTTGGTTTAATAGATCAGGAAATTGATCAGGAAGCACCACTGTTGAAGTGAAGACCACTTTGGTCTTTGCTTTTTCCAAGAACTCCAAGTATGAAGACCTGTGTACTTGACATTTATCTCCACTTGATTGTTTTTGTTTTAATTTTTTTTTTTACATTTATTCATTTTTGAGAGAGACAGAGCACAAGTGGGGGAGGGGCAGAGAGAGAGGGAGATACAGAATGAGAAGCAGGCTCCAGGCTTTGAGCTGTCAGCACAGAGCCCCACGCGGGGCTCGAACTCAGAGCTGTGAGAT